AGGAGAGAATTTTTCCCCGACTCGCCCCGCTCGCCCTTAGGAGGCTGTGACGACGCTAGCTGTCGGCGCGCTCGTTTCTATTTAATTTTTTTTGCGTGTTTTTCGTAGGAAGTGTAAATTTTTATATGTGCCATTATTGAGGTATGGCCTGTAGCTACAGGCGAAACTTCAACCAACATTTTATGCATGGTTGACAGGGCAGGCAACGCATGAATCACAGCTGGTATATGAAAATAAAGAAATATGGCCACAATTGCAGGAGCATCATTATAGATTTACATCTCGCACAATACATGCTGTTGGTGGTCTGAATGAATTGACAGGTTATGTATACTATTTTTTGTCTCTGTTTTTAAACAAGATCGCCGAAGCAGAAAAGCTGCACGCTCCTCGAGCACCATGCTAAATACAGTCTGGGCCATGGGGAGAGAATCACAAGTAAGACAGCCCAAGTGCAGGAGCAAAGTAAAAAAAACAAGGAACGTTTATTATATACCTTGCTCGCATTTAACCTATGCTGGATTCGGATAGTATTTCAAAGGACTACACGGGTGGTATCTGTGGACTTGTTTATTTCAACCATCAGGTAACGTACAACCAACGTGAGCGAAGGTGTCTAGCTCGTTATTAGTCCCTTCAGCCGTAAAATTGATATTTTACTTAAATCGAATTGTCCTGAAGCTAAAATACCAGAAGCTTTTCTCACGCAAACTGTCGCCCTTCAAAGGTTCCACATTTTCAGCTACTAGTGCTGCATCTACAACTGGACAAACGTTCGAATGCTTGCTTTTACTCATGTTTTCCTCTGTTGTCAGAGAGTCCAGCTGTAGGAAGTTTGGAGGCTGAGGAAGCTCTTGGGGACCTGCAGCAGTGTCTCTTTTAATTGAAAATAACAATTCAGACTAAACGGTGTTTATTTTTTTTAATACCGAAGGCTGGAATAAAGAATCTCAGGAACAGTATAAACTTTCCAAATTACGGCATCATTGCTGTGCATATTTTGGGCAGTTCAATACATATCATACAGGCAAGTGGGGGCAATTCGGCCGTTTTTGCTGCTACCATACAAACTAATTTCCAGTAATTGTGCATCTTCTAAGAAATATGCCTGCATACGTGTATAAACTGTATAATTAATTCACGAAGAAGCTACATTTATGTAAAACAGCCCTGTTCCACGAGCACTTCAAAGATCATCAGACGCAGGGCCCTTAAAACATCTGCGAACCAGCGCATGCAGAGTGGCAGCGTAGAGTCGGGGTCGCGAGCTAATTTGCCGACCACCAAAAGGCCCATGATATAAATGCCACTTCAGATGCCTTAAAAGCGGGATGTAATATTGTCCTAAATCATGAACAAGGAAGGAACAGAATTCCAGCTTCTGAAACACTTGCACCTCCGCTTCACCGACCCCTCGCAAGATTGCCTTGTGTCGTGTGGACGGACGGGGAGGTTCATCGGCGGAATTGCCTCCGCCGATAGCTTTCGGGATTCGTAACCCAATTTTAAAGGTAAAGGGACAAGCAGGCTTATAAAATGTACGGAAGCACGTCATTATCGACCTAACTCAACGTCTTTTACACCGGGTAAACGAAGTCCAGCTCCTCGAAGAGCTTGCGGCACACAACGCCAAAACAGGAAACCGTTGCTGGGAAGCGAGCCGATGCGAGATCGCGGAGCGGAGTCCTCCCCCTGACGTCACGGTACGCCTCACCCAATCAGGGCGCGGCGACCGCAGCGACGCTTGTGTTCGCTCTCGGGGCTAATAGTCACCGTAACACCATAACTCGTCGCGCGGCGCGCGCGGGCTTTTGGGATTTTTGAAAAGAGTGTATTGCTGGGTCGCACCTCCCCTCTCCGCGAGTGCAGCCACCGGACGGCCATCTTGCAAGCGGCCAAATCGCGTTCTTGGAGCGTTGCGGAGGCTGGCGGCAGCGTACTGAAAACATGTTTTCTACTCGTTCGTCGTCATTTCCCGAAGAAGTTCTTTAAAACCCTGTGTAAGCCGCGAGACTTGCCGTTGAGAACACGTGTAAATTTTTACGGAAGCGCAGTGCCGCAGAAAAAAGGAACAACTCGTCGAAAGAAAGTTTGGCCGGTCTCGCGGCGTGATCAAAGCTTCCTTGGCACGCCGAAACTCTAATACCACTGTCAGACGGGCTAGTTTAGTGTCGCTACAAGCGAGTGCACTTTGTCCTTAGTGTCATTTTTGTAGTGTGCCACACGGCTCCTTCCTGAGGAACACACTTCGCTTGGAGTGAGTCTGACGAAATCACTTCGCTCGATCGAGTGCGTGGCATCAATAGGAGTGTTTCAACAGCAAAAACATAGCAACATAGAAACCAAAAGGGTAAAGTAAGTTTTCTTTTTTATAAAGAAATAGAAATTTGTGAAGGAGATGACATGTAGAAGAGTGGCATTGCAAAAAAAAAATATTGGGGTGGACTTGGAGTTTAGGTTGATCTGAACCAAGATTAGCGCAGCGTGAATTGATAAAAGATGACGACAAAGTCAGTCATTCAACAGCTATCTTGGTTAGCAGAGAATGGTGGAGCCTACTTTTGTTTCAGCATGTAAGTATTCGAGACAATAGGATAATTATGATCTAATTAGGCAGTTTTAGGGCCTCCTCGTAGACTTCCATGGAACGAAGCGGAACGCCAAATTTGGATATGGTTCGTTCTTTATCTTGGCTTGCGGTTATCGATGAGAATCATCATATTGGCGTAAAATCGTTCATTAATGTAACGTTGTTTTAGAGCACAGCTCCTAGGAACCCGTTTCTGAGTTGAGCGGCGTCGGCATAACCGCGCGTTGCATTAAGGGCTGTTTCCCAAAATGAAGTCACACGTGACGTCATGTGTGACGTCACGAGGGTAAAATTTTCCCGCTAAATTTTGCGGTAAAAGTTTTTGCTAAGTTTGTTGGAAAATTTTTCTGCTAAATTTAGAGGGAAAATTTTACCCGTGTGACGTCACGTGACGTGACATTTAAAATTTCAGGTGACGTGTCATGTGACGTCACACGTCAATTCAGCGGGAAAATTTTCCGGCTTAATTTAGCGGGAAATTTAGCGAAATTTTTACGCTAAGTGGGATGGGAGCAGGAGATTAGGATGGGAGGGTACGGAGGGGCAGCAGCTGCATACCTTCCCTTTCGTACCCGTCCCCCCCTCCTCAAGAGCTGCGCTCCAGTTCGGCATTACAGAGAATTGTAAACGTCTAATTTTTTTAATGCGTCTTTATTAAGGGGTTTCGGTGGCCGAGGGGGCTAGCGCCCACCAGATCGGAGTACGTGGAGAGAAAGCTCGCGCTAGAGAACCCAGTGATCCTGAGCTCAATCCCCAGCCCTGCCCGAAGAACACACTTCCAATGAAGTGAGTTCGGGGAGCACACTACGCTCGCTCCGGTAGACCGAGTGTGTAATCTCGATAGCAGTGTTCAAGGAGTAAAAATATTAGAAGAAATTAGCGCTGCGTAAAATTAGTATTATTTTGATAGGAGTAATATTAGATGCGCACTTGTTTTCTGTTGGCAGGAAAGTAGTGCATTGTAGAAAAACAAGCGGCTAAACTAATTTCCAGCCTTGGCCCCTGCGCGACAGCCGGCGACGACCAGGAGGCACCCGCAAGACGTGCAGAAATCTGAAGGTGGCAGGAGAGACACGAACGGCTTGCTTGAAATGGAACTCGCCCAGATGGGGCAAGGTGTCTTCGAACCACCGTTCGTTCCCTTGGAAAGTCCACCGCTCTCGACTGATCACGGGTAGGTTGTCGGCCATGAGAGCGGCTATGGTGAAGGCATTGGCCTGCAGCTGCTGATCGACGTCACTTGAAATTCTTGCCTGTGCGTCGGCATCCAGGTCCAGCTGCCTCTCATCTGAAAGGCGTTGGGCTCTCACGGGAGAAAAGTGCCCCAACCACGCGCTTCCACTGTCCAACATCACGGATATCGCCCTCCAGCTCGTCCTCCACACACTCCATGATGTTTCGTTGTGGCGAGTGGCCGAGTGCGCTCGCGCACACTAGCTAAAAAAAAAAGGCTTGCTCACACTAGCTCGGAGCACGCGGAGCGAATGCTCGTGCTGCAGAACCCAGGAAACCTGCGCTCAATCCCTACCTCTGCTCGTTTCGATCTGGATGCACATCGTACCGGCGTGCGGACGTGTATCACTGGCTTGTAATGGTTGATCGTAATTATCAAATGAGATTTATATTTGGAATACAGCTCGTGACTTAGCTCAACAATGTGTAAACGTGTTTCTAATGCGACGACGAAGCTATTTATGAAAAAATCCGTATGCACAACAATATTTTGCGTGCCCATTACTTACCCATCGTCATTGCCATCATTTTGGAGTGACACTAAGTTTTCCCGTATAGCACCAACACACTTGGAGTGTGTTTCGACTGGCTGAAGTGCACTCGCTTCTAGTGACACTAAACTAGCCCGTCTGACAGGGGTATGAGTCTCTGTGCCTTTTTTAGAGAGCCCACATTAGAGAGAGTCTCCAACTGCTCCATCGTGGTCATGTGGTGTAGAACCTCGTTTTAAATACGGGCTGCGAGGAGGTGGCGAACCTGTTGGTCGTCTGCAAGAGTGTCCGGCTTCCCGCCTGCTTTCCTCCTTGCCGCGTGAAAGCCCAGCGCATGCGCACTTCCGACAAATCCTCACCCGAAGCGTCCGCCATCAAACTGCAACCCTCTCTATGGTTTGACATGGTTGTTCTCTACAATCTAGCCTCTCTAAGGATGCTGATCGCACCTCGTGCCCCACTTTATCATGGCGCGCATACGGCGCCCGTCACACTTCCCCTTTTATACCGATGTTCCAGCAGCTACGCTTTGTTTAGGGACTCAACATCCACAAAATAGCCCTTCTTGGGTAATAGATCTGCGGCATTGCCTCGAAAACCAATAACTAAACTAAACACGTACGTAAAAAACACTTTGTGAATTAAATAAATTTTACAGGCCTACAGGCAACGAAAACAAAGTAACACCCGCTAAGAATATTTTTATGCCCACACATATGAAACACCCGACAAACACTCCTCCGGATTTCTACCCGCAGATTAAATGGTAGAGACTACTGCGCCGTCGACATTACACTCCGTCAGAAAGCGCCAAGTTATTTGTCGCGTCCCTGTGGTCGACTACTTCGTACGGGTCGTTCCTCCTCTGTTTGGCGAGGGGCAGCTGGCGCCTCACCGCATCCAGATAGTCTATATCGACATCAGCAAGCAAGATCTCTTCATCGACCCCAGCCGACCGGACCACTTTACCTACGGGATCTACCAGCATGCTGTGTCCCCAGAGGACGTAGTAGGCCGTTTCGTCCCTCGAAGGCGACACGGACGCCACGTAGACCTGGTTGTCGGCCGCCCTACCCCTCGCCGTAAGCTGCCAGTACAGCGGACCGTTGTACATGTTGAACGCTCCCGGATACACCAGCAACTTGCAGCCGAGCCGCGCGTACAGCTCGGTAAAGGTCGGGAACGCGATGTCGTAGCATACGGCGATGCCCACTTTGCAGAACGGTGTGTCGAAGGTGGTCACTTTGTCGCCCGGTGTTAAGAAGCCCGCCTCGCTGAAGGTGAACTTGCTGGGGACATCGGTCGCATAGAGGTGTACCTTGCGGTGTTTGGCCAGCAGCGAACCGTCCGGTCCGTAGGCCAAGCAAGTGGTGTAGAGCTTGTCGTCCTCCCTCTCCGACAATGTTCCGCCGATGAGGTAGACCTGGTTGTCACTGGCCCAGCGTGACAGCATCTCGCTGGACCTTCCGGGAATCGGCTCGGCGTACTTTGCGATGTACTTCGGCTCGTACGGGAAGCTGAAGCATTCTGGAAGGCAGACCATCTTCGCTCCCGCAGACGCCGCCTCTTTGATTCGCTCACTGGCTCTTTCGAGGTTTTTCGAGATGTTGGGCGTCACTGCCAGTTGTAGCAGAGCAAGACGAAACTTGTTCATCGCCATGATTCGGTAATGTGAGCGAATATTATCTTGGATTTACGACTTGGATTAAGGGCGCGCGATACAACAGAAACGGTGTGCTGCCAGATGCGTATCTTTTGGGTTCTGCGAGTTACAGGTGCGAGCGGGGCCAATATATCCCAGGCGCGGTGATTGTTTTTAATTGGCGTTTGAAATCACGCGACACCGACGCGGCCCCACCCAGGAAAGGAGGCCTGCACCTTAGTCGTCCCAGACCCGCCCCCGAGCGGCAAACATGCCGAACCACCCCAGGGCTAGAGTGAACAGGCGCACGGCTTGCGGCACAAAAACGTGGATGACAAAGTTGTCCTCCGAGTTGGCAAACCGCAAGCCTTGCGACTGTTGCACGAGTAGTAACTTTAGCGCGCGTCCACGCTTCACACCTGCTTCAGGTCTCTCGGAAAGTGACTGCATTAGGGGTTCTCCATGACGCTCAGTAGATTTCTAATTGGAGCCGTATATGTCTATATTTACTAATTAAAGAATTTCATTACAATTTTTAACGTAATATTTTTACTTATCGTGACGAGTGACCCCCTAGAGTATGTCCCCCGGCCGTGTAACAAACCCGCACAAACTGCATTTGTATACTTTTCCTGTCTTTTTTATTATATGTCTTTGTCGAATTAATTTTTTACATATGAATAGCGGGGCATGTATGAATATTTTCAACTTTTGTAATGATTGTATAAATTTTGTTTTTAATTCGGTTATGATAAATCGATCTAAACCGGTCCGTTTTGCACTCAGAGAGTTACGCAAGACATTCGTGAAATGTTTTCTTGAGCAGTCAAATTGAGGATCTGGGGTGTGTAATAATGCGGGTCAGTAATGCAATGCGAAGTTTAGCCAAGAAACTGTCGGTCATATTTTGTTACACCGATAGTCAACTAATATAGGAAATGGAGCTATTTCTTTCTGTATAGGGCACAACAGCTGCGGATCTGAGTAGTTTTGTTAGTGGACACTTTGAGCCTGGCGGAAATTTATTCTTATCACTCAGGTCTGTGGCGCACTGGTTTAATGAAATATTTTACCTGAGTTAGAGACGTGCTTACCCCTCTTCTGTTTTTACCACTGTTAAAGTATGTTCCTCCTCCAGTTTCGGGTTAATGTCATTATAAGTCCGCTATATGCAGCGATAATCACCATATTCCGGCTTAAACAACCCACTCATTTCTTTCTCGAGAAGTCATAATGTCCGCATTTTGTTCGTTCATGTTTTTTGAATTATGAATGATAACAATAATCTTGCAAATTAATATTACTGTGTGCCGTTAAAGATATTTTGTTTTTCAATATTTGTTCATAGCTGGCATTCTATCCAATAGAACAAGTTTTGACTATCAAAAGTCGTTCCTACGATGGTTCGTCCACGCCAGAAGTTGTTTTTTTTTCGCCGTTCCATAATGCGCTCGATCGCCTTTTATGCAGCAAAATATGTTTCCGAGCCCCATGGACTTTTATCTCACTAGGTGCGTATGTTTACACAAGAACTCGTTTGTACGACGGCAAATACAAGCGCGATTCGCTCACTTCCATACTGTACTGTGGAGGAGGTCTACCCCTCGTCTTCTAGTTTGTGTTGGACCGGGTGCCTCTCTGAGAGAAAGGGGTTGTACGTTGCGTTGAAACCGACTTCTCAAGCGACTTGAGCCTTCAGCCGTCGGCTCTGACGTAGTTTAACGTCATCTCTCTGTATTCTAGGTGGCGTTGGAAAGAGCCTTGCCGTGTGTGGGGATGGACGGGGAGAGGGAGAATAGTGTCTCTGCTCTAAAGTGGCGTTTTGCGTTCGTACATAAGCATTTTTTTTGCCAAAGAAAAGCACCAACAGCTGTTAAAAAAAAAAAAAAAAAGCCGAGCGCGGCAGTGAGTAAACGTTTGGCTTGAAAAGAACAATACAGAATTTTAGAATCGTCGGGACCAACGTTTTTGGTCAGCCAAGGCATCGCACTGCACCACTTCACATGCGCAGGATTCCTGCGCCTGCGCGGTGGGACACACCCAAGCACCTCGGGGGCCCAAAGTGTTTGGGCCCCCTATTCTAAAAACTAAAAACTGAATTAGCATCAATATCAATTTGTAAAATGTGGGGATTCCTGTGGTCTCCGTTCCCCGATGGCCGAGATCACGGCCACGGATCGGAATGCTGGGATGGGACTCCGCCGTGAGCTTGGACCTGTTTCGTGAAGTGTAGGAGAGTCCACTGGCTCGGATCCTTCGAAACATATTCACCGCATTCGGTGGGAGTTGGTACCACGAGAGCGCCACAATATTTGGTGCCCCAGTAGACTTCCGGTAGTGTATTTATTTCTTCTTCAGTAACACACAGCGATCGGAAAATAAGATTTCCCTTCGGAGAGGTACCTGTAATAGGTTTGTAAGAACCTACGCGCTTTTTAGAACGTAGTACAAATAACAAAAGGATGTGTGCCAAGAGGAAAAGGAGAGGAAAACCGGAAGCGCGCAGGGGTCCGCCGATAGTGGGCGGCAACGAGCTTGTTTGCAAACAAACATTGGTGAGTATGCTTTTAAGCGCGCGGCCTGGTGATACCGTTACCGCGGGGTGCATGCGATTAAGAGCATGCTCCAAAGGCTCCGGTATAGTGGTGTACGCGAAACGCGGTAACGGATCGCTAAACTTCCCAAAAAAAAGGCAGCGCCAAAAGTGCTTCGTCGTGGTGCTCGTTCTCTTTCTGGCTTCGTTATCAGCGGCTATACCCCAATCAAGCTTTGAAGGGAATAGCGCATGGCTGGTGGCGCGTTCTCTGCACCTGATCAATGTCGTTGATGATACAGTAAAACGTCCAGACCCGACGAGCGCCGTGGCAATCCACTTTTAGAGTTGCTCAATTGGTTTCAGCGGATTGGATACTGTCTGCTGCAAATCGGACCGGAGGTGAAATGGAGTGTGTCTGATCTAAAAGAAGCTGGAAAGTTCAGCCTTCGGCCGAACGCGAGGTTTTCACTTGTAATGTGTACTGGCCGATTTTTTGCCGAATCAACTGTGCGGCTTACAGGAATGGTTTTTCCTAAGAAGCGTATATTATACTCTAGAAAAAATAACGGTTGTAATATAACGGAAAGTATTCGGAAAATTTCGGTCACACTAAGGAAACGGTTCGCTTAGGTTAAGATAGAGACAACTTTATCGGTTAAAAAAACAGCAATTATGACATTCGTCAAGAACGCAAATTTCCTTTAAATAAACAATCTAAAGATACTTGTATTAAGAATAATAAAACGGTGTTTAATTAAAGAAACTTTTTTTAATTAACACTTAACAAAACGTTTTGTTATCTGTAAGAAAACAGAGCTCATGTTATTCCCACATCCCAAATGTATTTGGTGAATAAACGGGGTAAACAAAGTCCAATTATTGTAAGGAAAGCAGAACGTTCCTCATTCCTGCAAAACGGATGATTATTAAGTCAGCTAGAAGAAACTATTTTATGAGAGAATGTTTGTTCGCAATACAGGATTTAGTGCATAAAAATTGAGCATTCCTGTCTTCAGCTACAGTACAGTCAGAGCGATAGCAGCTATCTCTGCGACACGTCACGGCCAACTCGTAGGGCATCGGCGTCACGTTCACGGACCGCGGGGTGCAGAAACAGAAGTCGGTTCAGACGCATTTTTCGTTGGGCCCGGCCGAGTGCGAGGGTTGCTGTGGTAATTACGCCTGCGTCGGCTCCAACAAGACCGGGTAAAATATTAAAGTCGTTCACAATGCCCAGCAATGCCGAATTAGAGCGCAGCTCTTGAGGAGGAGGAGGGAAAGGAACAGAGGAGGAGGAGGAGGGTACCCGTACGAAAATGTCATATATAGCCTTGATATATTTTATAGCTGGCCATATTTGATAATATAATGGGTAAAATATGGCCATATACCGCTATATATGGAAGACAATACAGCGAGATATGGCCATAGAAGAGCGTAAATACGGTCATAAATCGACACATACGCGTGCAAATACAACCATATAGCATTGTATAAAAGTTCAAATACTGCCATATATAGCCCGTTCACGACATATATGGGTAAAAATATATCCCCTGATAATGATATATGGGCTCGTTTCGGTCGTGCAAGCAAAAACTCTTATATATATACTCGCCAAGACACTAGTTGTATATCTATATCGCATGAGTCTCATGGTATTGATTAACTATTGTTAACATCCTTAAAGTGAAGTTATTCAGGATATTCGGAAAAATTGATAATTTGCTCATTTTGAAGATTGAAAGACAAATGAAATTTGGTTGTATGTTTGACGTGTGACAATATGACGAAGTGCATAAGATCGGAGAGTTAATGACATAATGGATTATAGGTCGCAGCTGATACGCGCCCGTTTCCGAGTTAAGCGGTGTCGGCGTCAACATCGGTGTAACCGCCCCGCTAAATTTAGCGGGAAGTTGAATTGGTGCTTATGTCACGTGACGTCAATTTTCCTACTAAATCTAGCAGTGAAACTAATTTTGTTCATGTTTCCCCGCTACTATTGTGTATTGTTGCCTGTAACCTGCCTGGGCCTGAAAATGGCCTGCAGTATTTTCAAATAAATATTAATAATAAATTTAGCGGGGAAACACAAACCGTTAGCTTACTGAAGATGCAAGACGCTACTTCGTCGTCGCGAATCCCTTTCCCTTCGAACGACTGCGAAGTCGTTGCGCCCGGGGTAGCCTATGCAGCATCTTTCAAAAACCGTTCGCACAGCATCGAAACATTCCTTTTGCGAGCGTCGGCGATTCATCGTGTGTTGAAAGTCGGAAGATATGCTGTCCGGGGTGTCTTTTATGTGTAATTATTTCGTAACAAAATCTGAAATTTAAAAACGCGAACCTAAAAGCGTACACAAAATTCTAAATTTACCGGTAAAAATATATGTTTATTTATTTATCTATTTATTTGTGGACATGATGCGCCAAAAATTGTCGCACCTATTCTTTGTCGACATTAAAGTTTCATCGACATTCTTCACGCATATGTCGATAATCCTGCTTTCCCTGGGAACGAAGTTGAACGGAATCAGGAGTGGCGTAAAGCGCAGCTAAAGTAAAAATTAATAAACGTTGGTACATGCTCAATATCCAATTGGTATTTTCTTATACAGATGAGAGTCACTCCTGGTAGATTTTTCTAGAAAATAACAATATACAATATATATAAGGGTTGCCTTATT